GCCGGGCGGCGGCGCCCGTGTGCGCGCGGAGGCAGCGGGCCCGCGCCCGCCTGGGGCGGGGGGGCCTCGGTATTGCGAGTTGGGGTTTGCGTGTGAGGGGAGCGCCTTGGTGGTGAGGCCGGGGGTTTGCGTGCGCGCCCGTGGGTCCCGGCCGGCTGTCCGTGGACACCCGTGGGCACGCGAGTGCACGGTGGGCTGCTCCGTGCGTGACAGCGCCTCTGCACATGGCTGGCGTGCGGACCCGGTGTGTGTGCGCTCCCGGGTCAGGGGGAGGCCCTGCAGGAACCTCTACTTGGCCTCTGAAGTTGCTGGGCCCCTTCAGTGAGGCTTTGGAAGGAGAGAACCTAGAAGCCATCAGCAGGCCCATGCCCACCTCCTCCGGCCCCCCTCCGACTCCGGGGCACCCGAGCTGCCCCTGTCTCTCAGAACCACCTGGCTCTCAGAAACCTCCTCCTCCCAGGGCTGCTGGCTGCCTGGGCTTGGAGACCTAGGACCCGGGAGGCAGAGTGGTGGCTGGTCCATCTTGGGGTCACTTGTCCCTCCTGACCCCAAGTGTCCACCTCAGAGGGGTGCAGAGGAGGGCTGAGGGGATTCTTTTTTTTAAGATTTATTTATTTGAGGGTGCCTGGGTGGCTCAGTTGGTTAAGCGACTGCCTTCGGCTCAGGTCATAATCCTGGAGTCCTGGGATCGGGTCCCACATCGGGCTCCCGGCTCAGCGGGGGGTCTGCTTCTCCCTCTGACCCACTTCCCTCTCGTGCTCTGTGTTTCTCTCTCCCTCAAATAAATAAAATCTTAAAAAAAAAAAAGACTTATTTATTTAAGAGAGAGAGCTAGAGAGACAGAGAAAGCATAAGAGGGGGGAGGGTCAGAGGGAGAAGCAGACTCCCTGCTGAGCAGCGAGCCCAATGTGGGACTTGATCCAGGGACTCAGAATCATGACCTGAGCAGAAGGCAGTTGCTTAGCCAACTGAGCCACCCAGGTGCCCCGGGCTGGGGAGATTCTTGCCTTAGGCAGAGATTCGGTAAATTGGAAGGAAGATTGGGTAGAGAGACTGGGGCCTAGCCCCTTCCCCGGCCAGCCAAGTAGTTGGATGACCTTCCACCGGGCCCTGCCTCCTTGTGGTCAGGGAAACACACAGGACCCACCTTGAGGTGTGGAGCGATTGAAGCGCACACATTTAAAGCTGCTGGTGAGGAGCAGGTGCTCTTTGAGCTGTGGGGATGGTGTCCGAGGTGCCACCCCTCGCTGAATGCCCACCCTCCCAAGGGACCTGACAGAGGGGCCAGGTGGGGTGGGAGACAGGCTTCCCTCCCTGGCTGGGGCCCTGCTAGCTGCCAGGTGATGAGAGGAGGCTGGGGAAGTCCCGAGACTCCTGGTCACTGCCACGGAGAGGCAGCCCAGGGAGTGGGGCTGGGGTCTGCTGTGAGAGCTGGGGCAAGCCCTGGCCTCTCGGGCCTCCCTTTCCTTGTCTGCAGAGTCCATGTGAGCTGATCCCCAGGAGACCCCAGCCCTGCCAACCCCCGGTGGCAGAGTCTGGTTTGGGACCCCTTCCCCATTCTCCTCTGGCCTCTGGGCAGGAGGCAAGAGTTTGTTGTCACAACAGCTGCCCAGCCTCTTGGCCCCCCACTGGGCGGGAGAGTGGAGCTCTCTCCAGCCCTCCCCAGCCTCAAGGTGCCCTCAGAGGGCAACCTCTCTCTGACGCTGGACTTGGAGGGATTTGGGGGAAAACAAAGCCTGGGTGTAGCCCCTGAACGCAGGAGCTTACTTACGTTCTTCCTCTGGCTCTGCTATGAGGGGCAGGCAGGGTGTGTGTGTGTGTGTGTGTGTGTGTGTGTTGTGGGTGGGGTGGGAGAGGAAGCCCCTCATGATCTCCTGCTCCTAGACCCCAGGCGTGTGTCTCCCGGGTCAATATGAGTGAGCTCCAGCTCTGGGATGGAGACAGGCCACCGGGAAAGGGGGGTGGTGGTTCTTCCTGCCCCCCATAAACTATAAACACCCACATCCTTCAATCCTGTCTGGAAACACTCTAAGCTGGCCTCTGCTGCACCCCTACATCCCTGCTCTGACCCCAAACTGCTGTAGTCACTGTCCCACTCCACCTGTTCCAAAACCTCCCACACGGACCCCCACCTCTGCCGCCAGCCCATAGTCTGGTCCTGGGCCCCTGCTCCCCTACCCCTGTGCCCCCAATCCTGCCTTTTTCCCTTACTCTTTCACCCACGCCTTCCCATGTCCCTAACCTGACGTTGGGGCCCCTGAAACCTATGGGGGATGGTGATAGTGCCTCAGGCACGCGAGACAGAATGCCTCCTCCAGGCCCCACAGGCAGGGTGGCGGGTGGGTTGGGCTTGGCCTGGTGTGCAAGCCAAGGCTGGGTGAGAAGGGGCCGCCCCCTCATTTGCTGCCCATCTTGCTGTGTTTCAGAGTGGACAAGTCCTTCACCCCTCGCCGGAGTGTGTGGTGAGTACTGGGAGCTCTCAGGAGGGGCTGGGCTGCTTGGCTGAACCTTGGGGACACCCCCAAACCATTTCCACCCCCTATAATGACAGACCAGACCCCACCAACCCTGCGGCTGTCCTCTCCTGGGGATGGAGTGGACAGACCTTCTTACCAGTTCTTCCCCCACCTGTTTTCCCCTATAATTCTTTCTATAGCTCCAACTTGGAGTCAGGCAAATCAGGTTAAGTCTTAGTTCTGTGTGACCTTAGTGATTCACTAACCTCTCTGACCCTCAGTGTTCTCATCTGTGAAATGGGGATTAAAACGCCCACTTAACAGAGTGTAAAATTGTAAAAAACAAACAAACAAAACACCTAAAAAAACAAAAATAAGGCCTGACATACCGTAGACCCTCCCTGAAAGTGCTTTCTTCCTCCTCTTCTCTATTCCTTCCCACCTCATGGCTCCTGGGGGGTTGCAGGTGCCCTTAGCCCCACATTCTCTAGTTCTACCCCATACATAGCCTTCAGAACCCCCTCCTGCAGCCCATTGCCCAAATCTGAGGCTGCCCTCTCTTTGGAGGAAGAGGGGGCAGCTGTGTCTGCAGCTTCCCCAGCAGTGAGAGCAGTGGGCAGAGGTGCAACCTCAACCTCGGGATTCACAGCACCCCCGACGCCCAGCAGGCGGGTGCCTCCCAGCTTCCCTGGCACCAGCATCACATGGGCCCAGCTGGCTTCTCCTGCCACCACTTCAACTCCAGCAGGGGAGTTCGTGCTTCCTGCCCCTGCTGGGGGCTTCCCGGGGTCCCCAGGCCCTGCAGTGTGCCCCCCCCCCAGCTACTAGATGACTCCTGTCTGGCACCATTGCCCCACCTGCTGCAAAGCCCCCCTAGGAAGCCACACCTGGGGTGGGAGGCACACAGGTGCCCAGCTGAGCTCCAGGGCCTGCCCTTTTATCTTCCTTTGATGCTCACTGTGCAACCTAGGGCCAGTCACTCCCCCTCTCTGGGCTTTATCTCCTGCTGCTGTGCCCAGTCAGTTTGAGCCTCCACTAGTGCAAGACCCTATGCTAAGCCCAGAGCAGGGACAGGGTGAGGGGAGATACAGATAAAGTGAGGAAGATGCCATCCTTTTCTTCAAGGACTTCATTAATAATATCCTAGCAACTGCCACTCGTCAAGCACTGGCAGCGTACCAGGTACTGTTAGGTGCTTGAACTGTATCACCTCACAGCATCTTTACCACATCCCTGAGTTAGGGACCGTTGTCTCTACAGATGAGAACAGTGATGCACAGAGTGGGGGAAGTGACTTGCCCAAGGTCACACAGCTATTCAGGGGCAGAGCTGGGATTTGAATCTTCATCTCCCAGACTCTGCAGAGCCCAGAATCTCATGCCCTCTGTCCCAGGGCCTCCAGACCACACGGTGGGTCTGAGCACTTGAGGGAGGACTTGAAGATGGAGAGGCGACCTGGAACACCTACTCTAGGGAGCCCTGAATGAAGCGTCAGAGATGAGGGCCCAGGACTGATGGTAACTGACTAGCCATGTGACTTTGGGCAAATCCCTTCCCCTCTGTGGGCCACAGTTGACAAACTTCTGAAGTAGGAGTTTGGAAACACCAGGATTTGGCCATTGCCCACAGTGCCTTGCCCTATACCCTCCTCCTTGGAGATGCTGTCCAAGGTGCTAACCCCTAAGGCCCTCCCTTCTAAGCCAATTGCTTAGCCCCCAGCCTGTGCCTGGCGTTTAGTTACAGCTCTGTAAATGGGGGTCATTTTGATTATGAATTATGACTTCCTGGCCTGTGATTCGAGACCTATATCCATCTCCCCTTTCCAGTCTGGGACTCACTTCTCTTGTGACCTTCATTTCTGATCAGTGGGAACATGGCCGCTGAGAGCACCACCTCTGTACCTTTGCTCACATTTTCCCATCCCCTTGGCATGTCCTCCCCTCCCATTTCCACAAGCCCTCACCACAAGCCCTCCACCAGGCCCTTACCATTTCCACAAGCCCTCACCATAAGCCCTTCACCAAGTTCTTACCATTTCCACAAGCCCTCACCACACCTCCAGCCTACCTTTATCACTGTGCGTTGAGTGTCTTCTTTCCCAAGCCCCAGAGCGGGGCTCTGTCTTTCTCTCCTTAAAATACCTCCCTCTGAGTATCATGCCTGTAGAGTCCACATTAGTGCTCATTTCTGGGGTAGTGGGAAGAGCATGGCCTTCAGAGCCTGACAGATGTGGACTTGAATCTGCCTCTGCCACATGCTAGTGGTGTGACTTTGGGCAGGTCTCTTCCCCTCTCTGAGCCCCACTTGCTGCTCAGTAAGTGTGAAATTGGATCTCTCAGTGAGTTGAATGTGTCCATATAACGCTGTGGTACAAGGCAGGCTCTGAGGCCCTTGAATGCAGGAGTTCCTTGAGTTACTTTTGACGTAGGCCCATTTTCTAGCACAAGTCACCAAAAATCTGGGCTCTCTTCTTCTCGTCTCTGTCCACACAGTCTTATACAGCTGCCCGAACCCAGGAAATGCTTAATAAATGTCTGTGGAGTTGAATTAAATGTGTCCAGAGTGGAAGAGTTGAAACTTTGTCAGGTAGGCTGGGAGAGCTTCCTGGAGGAGATGTGGTTTCCTCCACCCCTTTTAAAAAAAGGATTAAGAAGTTGGGGCTTAGATCAGGGAGCAGCGAGGCCTGGTATAGGTCAGATATGATCATGGCTGGATTCCCCTACCCCCTGCCCCTCAGCAGCAGGTTATCTGCAGTGGAGAAACTCAGAACAAGTGTGAAAAAAGGATGAGGCCCAGTGGCAGGATTAGGAGCCATTGGGGCAGGGGGTGACTCTGGTTCTGCAGGCCTAACGGGGATTGGACATTCAAGATGGATTCAGATGGTGGGGCAAGGAAGGAGGTGGGGCAGTGTCAGGGCAGGGGGATGGCTAGATAGACTTGTGCAAGGGAGGAGTTCTGGAAGAGGACCTTAAGGCTGGGAGCCTGGGGCGGGGGGCAGGACCCAGCAAGGATTAAGTGCCAGTGGCATGTCAGGCACTGTCTCAGGTGGTCTCAGTTGTGATGACAGTCTTGCAGGTTGGCCTTAGTGTCCCCATTTTGGAGGCCAAAACCAAGACTGAGAACTGGCGAGGGCTGGGTTTGAATCCACCTTTTCTCCTGCCAAGGAAGAGGCCTTGGCCAGACGAAGAAGCAACAGAAATGAGGGAAGTTCTGATTACAGGGTGAGGGAGGAGAGGAGAATGAGATGACCCTGAGCACCCCCAAAACAGGGGTCACCATCCAGCGCCATGTGTCCCACCGGGAGAGCCCATCTGGTTGCCCACGTATCTCCCATTGACAGTAATGATACCAGTTGCTCCCATATATGATGCTTTTCCTGGGTCTCAGACCCTGGGCCAGGCACTTCAGCTGAATTACGTCATTCCATCCTTGTACCGGCTTTACACAGTGGAGACTATGAAAGACTATTACCACCCATTCCCCATTTTACGGATGAGAAACCTGAAGTTCAGGGAGGGGACAGGGCTGGCCCAGGGGCACATAGTGAGTGATGAACCAAGACTGGCAGTGTGGTCAGCCTGAGCCCATACTTTTAGCCCATGCTTTCCTGGATGCTGCGTGTGCTGAGTGCGGGGCTGGGGTGGGTGGCCCCTGTCCTCAGGTGGCTCCTCTCTGTAATCACTGAGCTGGAAGCCCTGGGGGCCTGTGTGCAGGAAGCATGAGGCTGGCCTCATTAGTGCCTCCGAAATGCCAGGCAGGCACAGCCCGCTGGGCCTCCTCATCTATTATGCATCTGGTGGGCAGGCCCCCGGTGGGCAGCTGGCAGAGCACAGGACGGGGGAGCCAGCAGCTGCTTCCTGAGCCCACTCCTGCCACCATACCTCTGGGCAGGGATTCCCCCCAAGGCATGCCAAGGCAGCTCCTGCCTCATCCCCCCGGCCCAGCTTGGGGAAGGGAGTCCCACTGTGGACAGAGGCATGGATGTTGATCCCCCGCTCATTAGCCTGCCCATCCCAGCAGCCAATTCTGAGAGAGGCTGGGACCTTGACTGTTCTGGGGGTCACTTGGGGCTAGGGTGGGCAGAGGTAGGCTGAAACAGAATCTTGGGTGCACAGGCTCCTGGCTGCATAAAACCTCAGAGCGATAAAGTTGTGCTCATTTATTCATTCAGCCACAAGGAATGAGTGAGCAACTACTGTCTTCCAGGCACATTTCTAGGGACTGCAGACTCAGCAGAAAATGAGACAGTCCCAGTCCTGGTCTTCAGAGAGCTTGGTTCGGCCAGAACTTCACCTCTTGGATCCTCAATTTCCTCATCCATAAAATGGGGACTAGAGGAGACAGTCTATAAATAGACAAGAAACGAGCCACAATGGTTGTGCTGAAATTTAAGGATTTTATATTTAAGCAATCTCTACACCCAACGTGGGGCTCGAACCCACAACCCTGAGATCAAGAGATGCATGCTCACCGACTGAGCCAGCCAGGCCCCCTGGCTATGCTGAATTTTAAAGCAAGGGTTCCTGCTACCAAGAGCTGATCCTTACCCAGATCTTCACTGGGTGAGGGGCTGTATTCCAAAACACTTTCCATAGATTGATGGATTTAATCCTCACAACCGTCCCATGAGGCAGCTACTGTTATTACCCCCGGTTTAGGGTTGAGGAAACTGAAGCAGTAGAAGGGTTAAGTAGCGTGTTCAAGGTCTCTTGGCAAGACTGAGATTTGAACCTAAGCAGCCGGGCTCCAGTTTGCATATCACCCTGGGCTGTAAGGCTGGAGGATGATCCAGGGAGGCGTGGAAGGCCTTCCTGAGGGGTAGCATTTGAACCAAAACCTGAAGAATAAGAGGAGCTGGATGTGGGAAGAGTTAGCCGGGGGACGGAGGCATTCTTGACAGAGGGAACAGCAGGTGCATAGGCCCTGAGGCAGGAACAAGCTTAGGGCGTCTTGGAAACAGGGAGGAAGCCAGTATGGCTGGAGGGATGAGGGAAAATGAGGTCAGG